AAAAGCCTTTGATTCTCTTTATTGTGACTTTATTTCAGCTGTTATAATTGCTATTGGTCTTCCAAACATCTTCATAAGCTGGATTGAAGCTTGCTTCAAGGAAGCAAGATATTCCATCTCTTTAAATGGTAGCTTAATAGGATACTTCAAAGGTCAGAGGGGTATTCGTCAAGGAGACCCTTTATCTCCTATTTTATTTGTTCTTTCCATGAATATTCTTTCAAAGATCCTAAACATTGCTGTTGTTAGGGGTTTATTTGGATATCACCCAAAATGCAAAAACAATTGGACTCACTCATTTATCTTTTACTGACGATCTCTTAATTTTTTGCAAAAGAAACACTAATTCTGTTGTTGGTATCCTTACTGTTCTTAATCACTTTTATAGCTTGTCTGGTGTTAAGCTTAATGTTGATAAGACATAACTGTTTGATGCTGATATTTTGCATAGAAATCTTGAAGCTATAAAAGCATTCTCTAGGTTTAAACAAGGATTCCTGCCTATAAGGTATTTAGGGGTACCCTTAGTCACTCAAAAATTGAATATTCAAGACTGCCAGCCGCTTATTGACAATATTAAATCTAAACTACTTCTTTGGTCTAGAAAATTGCTCAGTTATGCTGGAAGATTTGAATTGATCAAATCTGTTATGCTTAATGTTTCAAACTATTGGTGCAGACAGTTCATGGTTCCTTAGTCTGTTATTAATAGAATTGACCAGCTATGTACACGTTTTCTTTGGAGGGGATCTGATCAAGCGGCTGCTGGAGCTAGAATCAGTTGGAAAAATATTTGTTGTCCCAAATTTGAAGGTGGTCTCGGTTTTAAAAATATCAAAATATAGAACAAGGCTTGCATGATTCAGTTAATTCGGAACATTCTTGCTGGAGAAGGTTCACTTTGGGTTGCTTGGATTAAGTTGTATGTGATCAAAAACAAAGATTTTATTGACTTAAGTGAAAGTCCTACTCAAAGTTGGGGCATCAAAAAACTGTTAAAGCTAAGGACAAAATCCATTCTGATTCTCAATGCAGGTGTTTTGAAAACTAAGGAAATATGGGAAGAAATTAGAGAAAAACATATCAAGGTCCCATGGCACAAAGTGGTTTAGTTTCCTCTCCATATTCCAAAAACAAGTATGATAACTTGGATGGCTATTCATGATAGACTTCCAACTCGTGCCCCACTATCTCGGATGGGAATTCAAACTGATGAGTTATGTGGCTTCTGTAAAGAGGAAATTGAAACTAGAAACCATTTGTTTGTTGACTGCCACTTTGCTAAAACTCTCTGAAACTCCATATTGCAGCTCACTCACTTGCGTAAACCCCACATGTCCTGGGAAACACGGCTTGATTGGTCTTGTAGAGAATGGAAAGGTAAATCCCTCATCTCCATTGTTTTGAGGATTACATGGAATGCTTACATTTATTTCATTTGGGAAGAAAGGAATAGAAGAATCTTTCAAAATAGAAATAGAGAAATGGAGCATCTTTCGAAGAACATTAAGGAGCAAGTTAGAATCCAGCTAATGGACAAGAAAATTAATAGACTTGATGATAGGGATGACAAACGGGTACAGTTTCGTGGATTTCGCACCTCATCCGCTCCAATTGGAGCGGGGATGGGTATAATTTTAGCGGGTAGTGGGCGGGTGTGGATTTATAAAGTGGTACCCGTCGTGGGTGGTGGGCGGGTAATGGATTTGAGACATCCGCCCGCCCCGCATCCGCCCGCCCAGCTAAATATCTATTAAATTTTGGACCATTATGAATTTAGGTGTAATTTTAGAGACTAATTTATAAATTTTAATATTGTATAATATATAACATGTAATTTATCCAAATATTAAGGATATTTAATCTTTAATCTGGTCTTTAATTAGGGAAATATTCGGCTCTTTGATTAAACCCATAATCCCACTAACCACGTCACTTTCCATGTTCTTTAGCCCATGCTGCCCATCCAAACACAAATTAGCCGTACTATAAGCATTAACATCAAAAGCAGCAGTTTCCATGTTCTTTAGCCCCTCAAAACCCATATTAGGCGCACTATGAGCATTAACATCGAAAGCAACACAACAATCCAGCTCTGCGACTACATGCTCCCTACAATCTGTCTCCATAACATTCGTAGAGCTACTCCTCTGACAAATTGAAGCATGCGCTGCTACCCCATCACGAACTGTCTGGGAACCAACTCCGACATCCCATTAGTTTGCTGTCAGGCGGGTCTAGATGGGTATGTCGCTAGTGGGTAGTGGGTGTGAGGATGGATTTGAAAATATACCCGCGTGGGCGGGTGTGGATTTGAAAATTTGTACCCATCATGAGTGGTGGGCGGGTGGTGGATTGAAAAATATTAGGTGGGTATGGGGATGGGGGAGGGGGTATCCGCACCTGACCCGCCCGTTTGCCATCTCTACTTGATGATGTTAATTCTATTCTCTGTAATTATTGGAGTATTGACTAATGTTTGTTGTAAATAACTGGTATACTCTCTCTTTGGATGTTTCTTGTTTCCTGTAATGTTCCTTTGGATAATAAAATTCAATTTATCTAAAAAAAACAATTGTTTAATTAAAAAATTGGTTTTTGTTTTTAATTATCTTTTACGTGGCTATATAAAATAAATGAATGAATAGTATAATTAATTAAATATAATTTATTAATACATCAAAGTGTTTAAATAAGGTGGGAAGCCTAGGCAAGCCTCCACCTCTAATTAATGTCAAAAACAACAACTTCGAAAACGACCTAAACGACATTTGAAAAGGATAAGTGCTCATGTGTCGTACACAGTTGTTTTTCCAAAGAAAAAAAAGAACACAGAGTCATTCATGCGAGAAAGGACGAGAGTTAATAGCGACAAGGGGCGTGCTTTCCGTCGCTGTTTGATGCAAGAATATGGTCTACATTCAGACTCCCTAACTTACCTATCATTTATTCATATTTCAAATTAGGTTCTTTTTTCTTCAAACGGTTAATATTTTTATATTTGAAAATTTTGATATGACAAATTTATATTTGCATATCCTTTAATTTTTATGTAAAATTGATCTCCACGCATTAAATCCTTTGAAGGATTCCTCCTCTTATGAAAATAAAGATTCGAGACTCATAAATTGGGCACCCCTCAACAAGATATGACATTTGGTTACGCTTTAAATAAACATTACGAGTCATTATATGATCGTTCGATTAAGACCAGGGAAGGATCTAAAATTCACTCTTATTGATTCCTCCTTTCGCTCCTAATCGGGATAAATGATTCAAACACGGCCATTTATCATATCATCACCGGTTACAATTATCCACCCAAATAGAAAAGGATGAATCATCGATCGGCACGACTGTTTATTTCCTCAGCAATAATATATTCGTATTTTTATATTTTCTTTTCATATGATTATCTTCAAAAGTTATATGAAAAGTATAATTGTAATATTTCTTTTGATCCAAAAATCCTGACATTTGCTTATAAACAAGTGCTTGGTGGCGAATTAGGCCTTCAAAAGAAAACATTCACGTTATAAATTTGCCAACTCTAGGATTCATCGTACGTGGTCAGTTCCTAGATGATACATTATAATATTTTAAATCAATTGTCTTCTTCATATTATTATTATTATTGGCCCTTGACCACGACTGGTTATACCCTTAAATCTTTTGACATTTACTAATGCAGGGGTCAAGCCCCAGCCAATCCACTAGAGCTGCTCGCACGGTAGGAGTTGAGATTTGTACCATATCAGAGTGACCCGACCATCGTTGAAGCTTATGTTCTTACTCCAAATATTCATCTCTTAGTTGATCCCTGTTATCCACGTATTATTATCGAGAGTGATGCTTCTAACTTAATTCGCCAATTACTATTGAAGCGAGACACATGTTAGATGATCATCCTCATATTGAGATTCGTTCTATTCGACGCTCGACATCGCATATATCCTTGCACAATGAGTGTAGTCCACAAGTTATCTGTATCTTTTACTTATGATTTCTCGGGCTTTCAAATTATGTACTTCGTGATACTATTTTCGGTTAATGAAATGACGTATTTATTCAAAAAAAATGTAAACATTATAAAAAAATAAATTAAATGCATAATTTATATTAGATACAATGATAATTAAATTTTATTTTTTTTTAGATTTATTGGGTGAGTTCAATGATAAAAAGAATATAATTCTTCGAAGAGGTTCTGGATTCAAGCACCTAAGTCTGCATGGCATGTGTGCGTTGTCAAAAACTAAGAAAAATTATGAATAAATATTATCTTATAATCATCTTAAACTAACAAAAAATAATTTATTTATTTTACTAATTTAATATTTATCACAAAAAGTAATATTTAAATACTACTTTATATTAGTTTACCATTAACCGACAATCTTACCATCTTTATCATAAAAAAATATACATTTTATAAAAGGAAGTCAAATTGGAAAACTTTATAAAACTTTGTGTTTTAGTTTTTTTATATAAAATTTAGGGGACCACTAGATTCACCCTTATCCATGGCGTGTTCATTGCATTGCTATTGAAGAAATTAAGAGAGTAAAATGTTTGGTAATTACATTTAATTATCATTAATAAATTATTATTTTTTAATAATTTAATGCAACTTAGATTAGAATATTCAATAGTAATTGAAACCAAATCACGATTCACGTATTCAATAGTTGAGTGATGAAAAGCCCAAGGCAACTTGTCGTGGTCGGTAGACACTCCAATGTAATAATTAATAATAGCTATGGAATGGAAGTTTCCTTTATGTCAAGGTGCATGAACCACTACCTACGTATCTCAGTGGCGCAATGGTCTGACGTAATAATTGTGATTAAAATACAAAATAAAATATGATTACACTAATATATATGTATATACTTTACCAAATATATATATAAATATACACGTACACGTACACGTACACGTACACCTATACCTACATGTACACGTGCACGTACACGTACACATACACGTACACGTACACGTACACACACACACACACACACACACACATACACATACACATACACATACACATACACATACACATACACATACACATACACATACACATACACGTGTGTGTTTAATTTTGTATAAAATTAACTGATCTATGTTTAATAAATATATAATGTGGCAAATACAATTTGGGTAAAGTACACAAATGGTCCCCTGATTATAGGATATTGCTACAAAATGATCATTCAACTATAAAATATTATTTTATTAAGTCATTTGACTATGAAAAGTTACATAATGGTCACTCGATTATCCATTATGTTCTAAACTCGTTTTTTTCCGTTAAAAAGTTGACGGTTATCTAAGTTGGACATTAACATAATGAATGGAATGCGATAGTTGTTTGAGATTCTAAGATCAAATTATATCATATCACAGTCAATAAATTTACGTTCAACTCAGAATACTATTAATTTTTTTAACAGAAAAGGATGAGTTTGGAACATAATGAATAGTCAGGTGACCATTTTGTAACTTTTGATAGTCGACAAAGCAACACTCTACAGTCGGAGGATCGTTTCGTAACTTTTAATAGTTGATGGACTTAATAAAGCAGTATCCTATATCTGTGGACCATTTGTGTACTTTACCCATACAATTTTAACGTTTTGGAAAATGACAATACAAATGCACGAATCAACTTACCTCAGTTGTTAAAGGAATCATTGTTGTTCCTAAAGGTTATGGGTTCGAGCACCAACGATTGTATCAGAGTGATTGAGCGTTCAATATCAAATGATTAAGAATATTTAGAACATATACTACTTTGTAATCATCTTAGCTTAATAAAAAAAATATTAATACAAATATTTAATGTTAAACATAAATAGCTGAGCAAGTATACCATTCAACGGAGAAAAAAAACTTAGAGATGCATAATATAATTATAAACGTGGTAGATACTTGTATTATTTCGTTTTATATAAATTCGAATCTTGGCATATACTCTGTGAATGTAATACCTCTCCCCTCAACAAAATTAACAGTTTTAACATTTAAGTCAATATATCAATTTTTTTTTCTTTTGAAAAAAATTGTATAGTTTAATTATTATAAAAGAATAAGAGCTTAATTTAGTTAAAAAATTAACAACCAAAGAATGTAAATATAAAGAATAAATAACCGATGGGAGTTTGATTCAAATAGTAAGTTGTTTTATATCGTTTAAGGTCTCATGTTCAAGTCGTTGTCTATGCAGAAAATCCCCACCGGAAAACTCACACACCAAAATTAAGTATTCGTCCCGGGCTAGTCTACATTATTTAAGGCAAAACCTTTAAACTGGATGTCAACAAAAAAAATATATATATGTAAAGAATATATTTATTATGGGGTGAGATGTTTGGATTTAGAAGAGGTGTTAGTCAATTGGGCCTAAACGAAAGCCTTGGTACAATAATTTCCAATTTTAAATTACATTGTACTACTAAAATATTCTTGTAGAAACTAAAAGTCTTTAGACACAACTTACTGCCTCTTAATTCTTAAATGTTTGTTGATCATGTTTCTTTGAATGAGCAGTAAAAAAATTAAATTGTATATTATTTTTGATAAATTATGGTGAAATTGAATCAGAATTCAACTCAATCTTAAATAATCATTTTTAGATTTTAATATCTTAATAGAGTTAAAATATCAACATTTGCAATCATTCTTACTTTTCCCAGCAAAGAACAAATTCACAATGCAAAATTAGGGTCACTGATAGACCAAAAACGAAAGTTTTGACATATTTTCTTCATATTGGATTCAACAACAACTGGAATAATTTATCAATGTTTTCCACTGTTAGGCATAACAATGGAATCAAAGTTATCCATATATATATATATATATATATATATATAATAGCAGTAATCTGATTCAGCATTCCAGCTTAAAAGCCTGCAGAGCTAAATCAGCATTCCCGTACATGGAATAGAAGCTATCCATGTACTCTTTGAATCGAAAACCTCTACACACTGGAGGATTTGTTGCTGTCACCAGAGATTTTGCAGGTTCTATAATGCTGTCACCCGAAGGATTCATACACAAGACGGCCGATATTCGAGCGTCACTCGAGTTCGTCACAGCTCGATGTTCTACACCCTTCAGCATTTTGTTACTGATTACCTATATGCGTGTCAATGAGGGAAAATTAGTCATTCACGGCACTGTAAATAACCCACAAGTATAGTTAACAACATCAAGGAAATGGAAATATACATACATATATGAATATGTACCTGTAACTGGTAGCCTATGTTAACTACAAATGCATTAGGAAGAGGCTCAACGCCGATCCATTCCCCATCTTTTAAAAGCTGAAGGCCCCGGACATCGTCTTGAAGTAGAATGGTTAAGAGATCAGGGTCAATATGTGTAGGAAGGCCTAGAGTCAAGCTCGGATCTGGGCATGGCGGGTAATAGTTAACCCCTAGTTCCAGATCTTCACTTAGTTGGCCTTCGAAGTACCCGGATTCAATGCCTAATCCTTCACAAAGCAACTCCAGGATTCTTAATCCTAGTTTCTTGGCTTCAATTGAATATGCTGCTACCACCTCTCTGCAAAGGCATCATGTCACTAGGCCAAGCATTTAAATAGCAACAAACCGTGGTTTAAGTGCTCTGGACTATCGATATTTGTTAAATCCGAACGCAATAGCGTTTATCAGCAATACACGTGATGTAACTGAAAATGTACAGGATTTAATTACCGGTAATTGGTTGGCTTTTGAGGCCAAAATTTGATGCAGTCCTGTAAAGGATGACAAGGGTGTCTTAGAATGTCACGCCATACGTGGATTCTATCGCCTTCATAATCCATAGAGCTAGTTACGAGCTTGCATCTCATCGGATCATCCGAGGACATGGTGAGGCTCGCCTTATCCTCTGCAGGCATCTCAAAGAACTCCTTGAAGACACTCATGGCTTCACTCATGAGTTTGGCTGGAACTCCATGGCCAACAACCTGATTAAGAGCAAGTAAAATAGGCTGTATACTAGAAACCAAGCAGTAAGTTGTAAGAAATCGAATACCAAGTGTTCTAGGTGATGAAAACCTGAAACAATCCGAACTCTTGGCTAGCCTTCAAAATCTGGTGGACCAAGTCATTGCGGTTACCTCCAAGATCAATAACCGGCACGGTATTCCATCTCGGAGCAAGATGCTTGCCAGGCCTTTCATCTGGTGGGAAAATATAAGACTCAGGCAAAGATTTATCCTTGTACCAGCTTGAAAGAAGATTAGCCATAAAGATAGATTTTTTTTCCAGGCTTGGGGATTGGGGCAGTTGAGGGATGCTCGGGTTCAAAGCTAATAATTGCCGAGTAGTTTGACTCTTTACAATTATGATCGCCCCAAATAGACCATGCTGACACCAGATGGCACTGCAGTATTGGCTGTATACATGTCATACTCAACTAACTCATACATGTCATATTCAACTAACTCATTGAATGCTATGAGAGTCAAAGAAGCTGCCCAACTAAGACCAAATTTGGCAGACCATAATCAATTGACAGCTTAACCAGTGGGGTTTATGTTTAATCATAGTAATTAAACCACAGTCAGATTCATTTACAATAGTTATGGATGTTTGTGGAAGTGGTCCAGAGTTTACATTATTGATCAAGCATGTAGTTTAAACAGATAGACATACCAGTGGGGGTTATTTTGATCCTAAAGTGGTGTTTGTTTTATTATCTAATACATTCCCCAACACATTCAAAGTACATAGCACAAAGCATCTTTGTCATAATCATTAAATCACAGTTTGATTCAACTGCAAGAGATGAGTCATGGAAGCTGTGGAGGTGGTCCAGAGTTTAACATTATTTGATCAAGCCTGAGTTTGAAGGGTTCCACACTCTTCTCAGTGTCTCCCGTTAAGGATATGTAGTGAAGCAGGAACTCTTCGTATCTGAAAGCCCTGTAAGCCGGAGACTCGTCGGCTCCAATAAGAGATTTTACAGGCTCTATAATGCAATCATCAGATGGGTTGATAAAGAAGGCAGCTGTCGTTCGAGCAAGTTTCAAGTTTGTCACCGCCCGATGTTCGGCACTTTTCAGCTTGTTGTTACTGATAATCTATATGCAAAGTGCAAATGAATCCAACATATAGTTAATTCTGATCAGGTTAGGTTATGGGCACCGTATTAACAGCCTTCAACATAGAAATGTCAACTTTAACACAATCAAGGAAGGAAGAGACTATACCTGCAACTGGTAGCCTATGTTAACCACAAAGGCGTTATGCAACGGCTCGACACCTATCCAATTGTCATCCTTGTAGACTTGGAGTCCATATACATCACCCTGATGTAAAATAGTTAACAGGTTAGGGTCACAATGTTTGGACACTCCAAGGGTCAAGCTTGGATCCGGGCACGGTGGGTAATGGTTCACTGATAAAAGCACTGATTCACTTAGTTTATCCCCAAAGAACCCTGAACTAAGCCCCAAACCTTCAGAAACTAACTCCAGGATCCTTAAACCCAGTTTCTTTGCTTCGATCGAATATGTAGCCACAGTTTCCCTGGAAAGGTCATAGGAAAGGGAAACGAAGTAAGATAAATGAAGAAGAACAATCATGTATATAAGTGCAGGGTTTTAGTACCTATATCTAGTTGGCTTCTGAGGCCAAATTTTGATGCATTCTTCTAAAGGATGACAAGGGTGCTTCAGATTGTCACGCCAAAGGTGAATCTTTTCACTATCATAGTTAGGACTACCTGTGTAAAGCCTGCAAGGTTGTTTCGGATCCTCGGAGTAGACGCCGACCTTGTCCTCTGCTGGCAACTCGAAGAACTCCTTGAAGACATTCATGGTGTCATTCACAAGGCTCTCCAAAACTCCATGATTAATTACCTGTTTTAAGGAGTACAACATGATGACTGATGGAATATCTACATCATTGGCTAAACTTTTCCTGCAAAATTTGAAATTTCTAAAGCAAAAGGCTATGACCTGGAAAAATCCGAACTCTCGGCTAGCCTCCAGAATCTGTTGAACAATTCCTGTTCGATCACATCCCGATGCCTTGCCAAGGTCAACTACTGGAATGGTACTGCATCCAGGAATGATATGGTTCCCAGGCCTTGTGTCTGGTGGGAATATGTAAGACTGTGGCAAGGGTCGATCATTGAACCAGCTCGACACAAGCTTCTCCATCTCTTTGATGTTCAAGTTCTGGGGATCTTTGATCTATTTTTGATATTTATGATGCAAATTTTTTGAAACGCGATAAAGGGTTGATCTTGGATGCTCAGACATTTGTAAAACCATATAAATGCATGTGTCATGAAAAAGTTGCATAGTCCTTTTCAGATAACAATTAATTACTCTTATCATTGTTGATTCGTATAAATCATTCCCCAAAAATGCTGTCTGACTTTGCAATTAACGGAGAATAATCATAATATATTTTTTATGATGTAATCATAATATAGTAATTGCTTTATAAGTCGAGATACTCATCGTCATTGACAATTGAACTCGATGGTAAGACAAATTAATAAGACAAAAAAGAAAATATTTATTCTAATAGGGATGATAGCGGAGTGATGAACTTTGATCCTTTTTTAAGAATCAAACTTAGAAAGTCCTAGACTCGATCAAAGAACTAGAGAAGAAGAGTAAATGGTGTCGGCGGCAATTAAGGTTTATGAGAGTTTAGGTTTGCTGAAAAATTAAACAAGAAAAGTAAAGTGAAAACAGTAAAGATAAAAATAAAGATAATAAAATAAAATGAAGATAACAAATGTAATAAGATAACAAATACTTGTTAAGAAACGCGATAAAGGATTGATCTTATATGCTCAGACATTTGTAACATCCAATATATGCATCAGTGTCATGAACAAATTGCATAGTCCTTTTCAGATAACAATTAATTATTCTGATCATTGTTGATTCATATAAATCATTCCCCAAAAATTGTGTCTTACTTTGCAATTAACATAGAATAATCATAATATACTTTCTTATGAAGTAATCATAATATAGTAAGTGTTTTATCAGTTGAGACACTCATCGTGATTGACAATTGAGCTCGATGGTTAATAAAACAAAAAAATATTTATTCTATAGAGAAAACAGCAAAATGATGAGCATTGCTCGTTATTTTATTTTATTTTATAAGATATGGAGATCTCATTAAAAAAATCCCTTCATACTTCTTGACTTATTGATGAGCATGCCAATAGGTAGTGAAAGGAGAGAAAGAGTACCTCAAGATTATTAATTACTCAAAACATCTTACATAGTTCCAGCATAAAATAGCAATTACAACCCAAGAGAAAACTTCAACAGCAGATTCTAATAAACTATCTTTCCTAGACAACCCAACTAACCCTCTAACCAAATCCTTGTTTAGCTACTTTATCAGCTCCGGAACTAGCACACCGACTGATATGACGCAAAAGAACAACATGATCGTCGATATCCGCTTTAATTCTCGGACGAGATGCAAAAAAGGGCTGGGGCTTAAGGATGGGAAGGCAATCCAATCTAGAGCCTGTTTACAGTCACATTCCAAAATCAATATGTGCTTCTTCCTCAATTCAAGATTAAGAACAATGTTGCTAGTTGTTAAAGAATCAAACTTAAAAAGTTCTAGACTTGATCAAAGAACGAGAGGAGAAGAGTGAATAATGTCGGCAATAATTAGGGTTTATGAGAGTTTAGGGTTGCTGAAAAATTGAACAAGAGAAATAAGGTGAAGACAATAAAAATAGAATAAAGATAATGAAATAAAACGAATAGAACGAATGTAATAAGATATAATTAACTTAGCCAAATATGGTTTTAGTAACACCTTAAATTTCCCTTAAATTTAAAACCCTAAAATTTGGGGAATTGTTCAAAACCTTAATTTATGTTTGGTGACTTAATTGAAAAATTAAAAAGTTCAGAACCCAATTAATAAATTACATAAAGTTAAATGACTAACTATTGTAAAAGTAATTTGGTTAACTTAACAAGGCAAACAAATAGTTCTTTATATCTAAAAACAGTTACCACGAAGATTTAGAAAAAAAAATTTATAATTGCACTAATAACAAACGTTTAATCAATAAAACGTTGAAAACCCAGAAAACCCTTGATAGAAAAGAAAAGTATGAAGCAGATTAAAGAACCAAATTGAAGTGGAAGTTGGGAACCTAAGGTAGATAGGCAGCTCAAACATATATAAACAATCAAACAGAGATCAAATGCAATTAAAAGCAATGGGAAAAGTAAGATCAGAAACACCATATTCGTAGGGTGATATGAGAAATCAAAGCGATCGAAGCAAGAAAAAGACAGATGGATTTGATCATCCCTTCGGTTATTTTTCCTTTCGCTTGAAATGGGGGAAAGATCAACTTATTATTGAGATATTGCAACGAATGTCGTAAAAATTGATTCGATTACAGTCGACGGTGCCAGAAGAAGAGGACGACCAAGGCGGAAGTGGGAAGACTACTTGCGATCTGATTTGAAGGATTTAGCCCTTACCGAGAACATGACCTCTGATAGGAAAGTATGGAGACTTAAGACCAGGGTAACCGAGTAGTGCAGGTTATAGCCATAGGGTGTAACATCTCTGTCTTCTTTTTAAAGGCCTTTGTAGTAATTTACATTACTTTTACTTTATATACGTTTCTAACATTGAGATTTATGAAGGCTTAGAACTAGGGTAGTGGAGTAGTGTTGCCTTAGTTTAGGTGTTAACCCATTTGACTTTATTCATTCTCGTAGCTTGCTATCGTTGACTTTTGTGTATCATTCACTTCAGGTTTCCTCTTTTTAAAATTAGTAGACTGCATATGAAGTTCTGTTCAACTATGCATTCATTTATTTATTTATACGTACATTGTATTTTATCTTTATTTTTAATTTTCTGACTGCCGGAGGTCTTTCACGGAAGCTGCTCTCAACCTGGCTTTGGGGGCAGCCTACTACCCTACCTCCCCTAACCCCATTACATATGGGAATAGGGTTTTGTTGTTGTTGTTGTTAATCGCCGTTAGAATTTATGTCAAAGTGTGTCTTTTCCTGGTGCTGTAACTAATTTGTGTTACTTGTTTGATTGCTGGGAATTGTTTGTGAGCATGATTGTTATGTGTTTAGTTATTTTAAATATAGTTCGGTTAAACATGTTGTTTGGAAGTTGGTTTAGAGCATGATAGACTCTATGATATTGTTGCATCTGATATAATTCGAAAATAGGTGTGTGAAATAAATTGATATGTTAGACTGAAAATTTATGATATGCATTCGGATTATCAGTATATGTTATTATCACATTCAGATCAGATCGAAATCGGATATATGTTATTCGAATCAGATCAAATACCGGATGTGTACCATTTGCATATCATATTGGGACAAATTTTGATAGGGAAAGTTTAGTTCATTCACTCAACGGAGTGAATTTCACTTTGGATTCAGTGTCCTCTGCCTTTGTGGCGGACTCCACTTCAGATTGTGTTAGTATTTAGAATGGTTACGAGGAACCAACTCTTCGGATGGTGTAAAGTTTTTTGGGTGCACATTCATTGAATATTTAATTGGGTTGTGAATATTTTGTTGAATCGGATTTTACGTTGTCTTATGAATTATTTGTGATTGATGCACTTTAAAAGCACACTAAGCTTATTAGCTTACACCCCTTAATTTTTCTCTTTCAAATTCTCAGGTTAAAACAGGTACTTGGAGCGTTATTTTATTTTTCAGATAAAATTAATATAATCAATATGAGATTTAATTTGAATTTCTTATTTTGGATCTTCATCATTTTTTTGGATTTATTACTATTAATGTAATTTGGGACTTTGGACATTACATTAAATTTTGGAACTGTTTATGCATATTTTAGAATAATTATCATTTATATAGGTTTTCTCATACATTTGTTTTAATAAAATTTGAAGTTGAACTGATATTTTTTTATCAAATTTTAATGTAAGCTTTTAAGTTTTAAAGTGAACATGGTTTACTCGAGGAAAAAATTATCTCAATTGAACTATCTTAATTTGACCTAATTTCTTTTAGGTCAGATTTAGGGAGTTACAGTTTTCGACAAATTTGTTCCTGACACGAAATCAAGCAAACAAATGCTCGTTAAGAAGATGATAAACTATTGATCGAAGATATGCAAAAAAGAATTATGAAAAGATAAACGAAACTAATAAAAATTGAAATTGAAAACTTTCCCCTGTAGATATAGGATTAACGCAAACTCGGTTTGGATGGTGGTAGGCGGTTGATGATTGTTGTGATGATGATAATTGATTGGCAATTGTCCTATGAACCCTCCTAATCATAATTGATTAGGCAAACTCAATAATCGACTTTAACCAGCCCCATGAAGAACTTGAAAAACTTAATGATGAAGAATGTTTCGAATGCACAAAACAATTAGCACTTGCAAAAACAAACTCTTATTGTATTACTAATCAAAGAAACTTGATTTACAATATTGAATGGAGCCTCTTTTATATAGGGCGAGGAGTTCCATGAATCTAAGTAACTACTAAATAAAATAATAATAAACTAAATATATTGTTTTGATTTTATCCTAATTTCTAAAAAAATAATAAATAAATTAAAGATAATGTTTTAACTCTATCTTAATTCTTAATAAAATAATAAATCTAATTCTAAAAGATAGTGCATCATCTTATATTAAATTATATTATAAATAATCAATAAAAATATTGATAATTCGTAATATTTATAAAATCTCGTATTAATCACGTATAGAAATTTCTAGATACGTTGTCTTCACTAAAATAGATGTATCTTGAGTTTTTGACCTTGGATTGACACGTTTCAAGTATTGACCTTGGATAATGATTTAACTCTATCTTAATTCTTAATAAAATAATAAATCAGAATAGTAAAAGTGTAAAGGTTTAATGTTAAATAATTGAGAATCATTTTAAACAAATATTGAGCTTGTACTTACTCGTATTAATTTAAAAAAAAACAATTTTTTATAGAAAAAAAAGGCAATTGCATACACATTTATTGCATAATTATTTTTAAAACATAGTTGTCGGGTTTGAAGTTGAAGCAGCTTTTTTGACATTCTCCATTGTACTTTAGAAGGTTACAGACGTGCGTTACAAAAGATTCCATGAATCTGTACCAGCTGATTGGTTAGCACCAACTAGCGCGGTAAACGAGCCGAGTCGTGCTCAACTATTATTGAGTTCGATTCGAACTTGAAAAGTTTAAAAT